AGCTGAAAATGAGCTCAATCTTTGGTTTGGGCGGTCGGTGTGCGATCTCACTGACCCCGGTGCGTAAATGGATGTAAATCGTGCCGTTCTCGTATTTTTTTAGCAACCCCGTGCCATCTCCCCGACCGGTGCCACCTCTCAGACCGGTCCTATCTCTCCGACTATTACGGTATATATTAAAGCTATGTTGTTTTCTTTCCGCGTTCACCCCTTCTAAACCAAAGCTTAACAAGCAGGCTATCGGCGAGACTATGTCGGCTCCTCTCTCCCCTCCTGCAACTCCCCCTTCAACCAACTTCCCCTTCAACCTACATGAAGTCTACAAGTAAGTATGCTTCAGACAACGTGGCGACGACTCGCTCAAACCTGGTGTATAATATCTCCTCAATATACCCTGCGCAAAAACTTTGGGTTTTTCTCGATAGTTTGACATGGGAAGGTGTTGAATCTAGTATCTGCCATTTGCAACCTACATGGGAGCAGATCATCTGCGATGTGTGCCTGTAAATGCAGCAGCCTACCCGCCTGGACCGATTTCCAAACATCAATTACTCCACGAAGAGAATGCGTGCATGAAATGACTGTTTCAGAAGGCTCTTGACAGAGCGGCTTCAACGCCGCCGTTTCCGGCGCTGCCACGCTTCTGCTGTGAAAGAATGGAGCTTGGAAAATCGGTCGAGGGGGTGTGATATCTTGTGTCATACCTTGTTTAGGTGTAGCCTGAGCCGGAAATGGGTAGGCTTTCGACGCCTTATAGGGTGGCTGTGGGGGATTGGGGGAAACATGCTTCTTCAGACGTCGTATGGGTTGTTGTGCAGTGTTGTGCCTGGTTGGACGTTGGCAAGCTATCAATCTGGAAGCAGATGGCAGCGGCAGATCTGGATGCTGATGCGCCTACCTCTAGCGTTGCGGGGCAATCGGTTGTTTCTTTCGTGTACAGCCAGCGCAGAAAGCGGTTCCGGTCATCTCGAAGCTGTGCAAAGGCCTAGACCTACAGCACCTAGACTCAGCTAGATATTCCACTCGCTCTTCGTACAGCAGCAGTACACGCCCTACCGAACGGCCGGCAGCCCGGTAGCGCGCACATACAAATCGGTGCCCCCGACAACAGTCTACATTGTAGACTAATTGATTGCTTTCGGCGGTCCTGACATGTTTTTCTAGCAGCATTCTTCTCCTCCCCTACACACCATGAGTCCCCTGTGCGCGCAGGAACATACTCCACTGAACATACGAGCAGGCGGGCTCTGCAAGCCTGCACAGCTCGGGCTTCAGTGTGCAAGCTAGCAGAGCTGAGCTAGCCGAGTACCACCTCCAAACCGTCAAGAACCGCGTGCGCGCGCGCCCAAAAAGTACGGCATGCTTTCCGAACCTTCCGGAAACCCTACCCCCGAACCCCCTAAAGATCCTTTCGCACGATTGGTAATCCGACCTCCCGATTACCGCCGACCGGCCAACAACAGCTGGCCTACATAAATTGAAAATATCGGAAAATAACTTGGCGTGCATTTGTTGTTGTTGTTGTTGTTGTTGTTGTTGCAAGTAGTGTAGTATACGCGTCTTTGTTCGTCACGTTACACACAGAGTGACGACGACACCCATGTTGTTGAAGCAGCAAATGGATCGCCTGCGTTCTGCTACAACACAGAAACTCTCACAGAACAATTAATAATTAATTAAGACTAAATCGGCGGTGACGCAGTGGTTAGGGACACACCTAAGTACTTGACTTGAAGGTTATCTTTTCTTTTGTGTTCACCGAGCTGGAGCTTCAGCGCGGGGATAAAAACACACACAGAAAGAAAGGGGATGAAAAATACCATGTATCAGGGGACATTGATTGGCAATAGGGGGGTGTTGCATCATCGGTAGTAGTCTAAGTCTAAGTAGAGTCGAATCATGTTAGCCTCAAGAAAGGAGGCAAGAAGCATCTGCTACATACATACACGCAACAGCAGTTACTACTTCTGTATTGATGTTGAGTGTACTGCTCTGTAGTGCGCATGCACGCACGGACAGAGATGAAAAAATACAAGCGAACCGACGCCCCGGTTCTCCGAAATGTACCTACTGCTGTGCTTGTAGTAGACAATAGATGAGATACCCCCGGCTCCCTCACCTTGTTGGCTACATTGTAACCCTTTGTGGGGGTACAACAGCCTTCTGGGTTGGCGTGATTATTTTTCGCGTGCCGCCCATGGTTATGCATGATGTCAAAACACGATATTGTTAATTGGGCCGACAGCGGCATCGATTTCATTTGTTTCCTTTTCGCATTCCCCGCATCAGGGGCGGGCTTCGACGACAGGATAAAGACTCCGCCCGGAGCCTGCTACCCATTCACGGGAAAAATCGCTTCGACGATGCAACCAATCACGTTGTTCGTTCAAGCAAACATGAACACCGAAACAAACTGCGTGATGTATCACCTCGTGTTTTGTACACACGAGAACATCGCTTTTTGTTGCTGCTGCTTTACTTCCAAGAAAAACCACGGAGCACACACACATCACAGACTACGCGTATTTTTTTAGTATATACCATACTACCCGCCAACCTTCGTCGCAATCCATCCCGCCACCCTTCACCACACAAAACCGACTCTCCTGGCGCAAAAAAGCCTACTCGACACACGACTTGATCGTTACCCCGGTGATAGCTTGTCGTACGGCGAGCGAAGGCGGCCGTCGTTTCTCTCGTCGCCGCCGGTGCCACCGTTACCGTTATCACCACCGCCCCTACCCCTCTGCTCGCTCCACCCGCCGCCTGCACCACTACCACGGACGCTTCTTCTCCGCTTCTTCCGGTACTGCATGTAGGCAGCCTTGCTGGCCACGCTTACTAGCCTGCGCTCCGGCAGGATGCACGCCGTCAGTCTGCCCCCATAAACGCAGCCCGTGTCCAGCCCCATGGCTTGGTCTAGAACCTGAAGGCCGCGGGCGGCGTCGTGTCCGAAAAACACCGTGTCCGGGCCGGCCCACTCCCTGAACGATAGCGCGGTTTAGGAGGGGGGGGGGCGTTGTTGTTGCTTAAGCCATTCGCTATGTTGATCTTGCATGTAATTGTTTTGTCGGGACGGAGTATGTAGCACCGTTGGAAATACGTGGGTGCTCATCGCATCCCATGCACCGTCGCATTCATATCGCGAGACCTTAGACGGCGGGGGGGTAACGGGGAGACGGGGTAGGGGAGGGGAGGGACGTTCGGCCTCCGATTCTTCCGACAGACAGACAGCCGATACAACGCATTGTGTTGGACACAGCCTGTTGGGCAAACACGCATGGTGTACACGACTAGAATAGCTGTGTCTTGGAGCATCACAGCACGGGTGGTTTACGATGCACCAAACCACGCGCAACAAGAACAGTTAGAAGTTAGAAGCACAACGCTACCAGAGGTTTCTACCCCAAATTGCCTCACACACGAATATCAAAATGAACGAGACTACCGACTGACTGGTCTCTGAAACCTCAGCGGTTGCAGCTATCGAGAGGGACATTAACCCAAACTACAACAGCTGGAGTGGGATAGACCGGTAAAAGCACACAGCAGGAGATGTACGGAGTAGGAGCATTGTACAGCTGTTGGTAAGCTGTGCCGCATGCCAACGGAGACAACCTTGTCTTCAATGAGAGAGCAGAAAGAGAGAGAGAGATAAAGACATGCAAGCTGACTGAACTACAACCTCGCGTTGTGATTGCTGAGCAGGTGTGATGAGCGAGTACACTACCTACCCATCTGCAGGAGATTAAAAGCCAGAAGACACCCGAGCACACAAGAAGAGCAGAGGCTTAACAAGCAGCAGCAGCAGCAGCAGCAGCAGCAGCAACAACAACAACCAGCAGCAGCAGCAGCAGCAGCAGCAGCAACGGCAACGGCAACGGCAGATATTTCGCACCACCCACCTGGCCCAGGGTCTGTTTTCAACGACTTTGGATGTAGGCGCGCCCCCTTCGAGGGTGAGAGAACGCATGTTCATCATCATTCTCGGGTTCTGCCTCTTCATGCTAACCCCCGGGATGAAGCCGGCGTGGACGAACAGGGCGTCTAGCTCTTCGCACTGGAAGTACCTGTGGGTGTTGTTTGACATTTTCGCGGAGAAGGGGGAAGGGGGATACATTGTTGACGGCGATGGCAAGAGATGAAAAGCGTGGGGAAAGCTGTGGTAATAGTTAGGGCAGGAGACCTTCGTTGAGAGGGGGGGGGGGGGAGGGGTCACGTTGTCGATGAGAGAAAAAAACGGACACGTCAAGCGGTGCACTGCGGCAGGCGTGGAAAATTGCTGGGTCTCCACCCATTTGTTGATTGCCTTCTGACAAACTTCAGCCTCGAAAAAATCATCGCTTGTACTGGACACGTCTGTGCGGAAAGTCCAAGGTATCCTGATGAATTATTGTCAGCCCACTCCTCTCTTTTCAAGTCATTTCCAGATACTGTCATACCGTCTCTTCGGTCGTAGCCAATGGTACGGGGGTATTTCGAGTCGTGATGAAGCGATTATCCCAAGTCAATCCAACGGGGTTTGCACAGCAGCAAGGCGTTCTCAACAATAGTACGACTTCGCGCAAAGTATCAAGTTCAATGCCTCACCTCCGAATAGCAACCTCTCGGCTTGGTACTAACAAAGCGTTTGCATGACAACAAGGTGTTGTTTAAATCGCTATATGAGGCAAAGCACACTCACCGGGCTACCGCTTACCCTCCACGTTTTACTCGGGCCGTTTTCGCTCGCAACAACCAATAACTTTAACAACGTGGCGCGGTTTGCAAGAGTCAATTAATTAACCCGCAAGCGCAAGTTTACCCCAAGAACAGCAGAACCGACAATAGAAGGCAGCACCAAGCGGCAGCAGCAGGAGCAGCAGCAGCAGCAGCAGAAGCAGCAACGACAACAACAACCCAGCTCGCTCACCATGGGCTATTCTTGAGCCAGAGACCATCATCTTCGCCGAGCGACATGGCGATCTGGTGGTGGGCGGAGGGTCCCCTCCCGTTCTCATTCTCGCCCACATTAAGCCACCGCAGAACCTGACATCATTTGTTGGTCGTCGATGTTTATGGAAACGTTGTTGATGCCCAAAACCATATCCACGACGACGAAGTCGACGAGTGCAACAAGCACGTGGGCTAACATACACACAGCGTACCGCTGTTGTTGTTGCTGCTGCTGCTGCTGCTGCTGCTGCTGTTGTCTTCACATTAAAAAAGTCGTTCCGGTCTCCATTCAGTACCTTCAAATATCCGTACTGGTCCAACTGACACCCGCGGCTTCCGTAGTCACAGGTCAACTACCCAAAGACGGGTATACCTTTCTTGAAATCAAACACATGGTGGACCTGGAAATTTCTTGCGCATCCGCTGGTTTAACACCATGGCCGATGATCCAGACTGCAAACAACGGCATGCTTGGGAGTCAGGTGGGTGAGTTGAATCTTGGAGAGGGCTGCCTGTTCGCGTGCGGCTTGACGTTTTGAGGTGGCCAGCACATGTCGAACGTCTCCAAGAGGGTTGTTCCGAGGTAGCGCAAGCCATCGGGCTCGCAAGAACAAGAGATCCAAGAGATAAAACGTAACCCAGTGGCCTTAAGCTTGACAAAAACGTCCAACAGCTGCTGTAAGCGTTGTTGTCCGTGTATTCGGGTTCTTTCCATGGAAACGCGTTCGGCACGCAAATGGCAGCAGCTGGCCGGCTTCAAGCGAGCCTCGAAAAAATAGTGATGTACTCGCTTCGCTACTATGTCCTCCCAAACTACAAAAAAAAAATTACCCAAACCCGCGCATACTTCACTTGCAGCTTTCTCTCTAATGAGGGTGAATTTCTATGCTCCAACCCCCCCCCCCCCCCCCC